ACTTCCTCGGGGAGGGGGGGGGGATAACGAATAAAACAGGTTGGCTTTCTTTGGGTGTAAATGGTGAAAAGGAAACCCGAGAGAAAACAAAATTTCAAAGAAAGCAAAACCAGAGGCTTACCCAACAAACAAACAAACCAGCACTTCAAACTTCAATACAATTTCACACGGTTACACACATACATACAACTGCACAAAGGTCACCCACTGAATAGATGGCTGGGTTAGCACTTGGTTGGAAAGGGTCCCCCAGAAGCGATTATTATTACTATCCAGTTTTACAGTCCATCCTTCTTCCAAGGAGCTCTGGCCAGCATATATGGGGATAAGAAAGTGGCATGATTTACGTGGACCAGTCCAGGGGATTCCCAGGCATGCATGCTTCCTTCCCTTGTATACAGCTAGAAAATCAAAACTTGTCCACTTTTCCTGTAAACCACATTTTGGCATTTGTCCAAACCATGAACTATGGTTTACTCAGAGATCTGCATTCGGCTACCAAAGTAGCCCTGCCCAAATAAAAGCCGATATTATTCAGTTTTTATTTGGGGGTCCCAAGTAAAGGGAAGGGGTTTAAAGTTTAAACCCTTCCCCTCCCAGAGTCAGGTTGAAGCTTAAAGTTTATACCCCCTTCCCTTCTCTCTGGAGTCACACCACAGCTGCAACCTGACTCCAGGAGGGGAGGGGAGGGGGTTTAAACTTTAAACCCCCTCCTCTTCTCTCTGGAGACACACAACAGGGAGGGAAAGTGTTTAAATTTTAAATCCCTTCACTCGCTGAGTCCCCATAGGATATAATGGAGCCGAATATATTTGGGTTTCCTGAATACTAACCCGAATATCAGTACAATACCAATACTGGTATTCGGGGATATTTGGGAATAACAAGTATTTTCGGGTCCCAAACACCTGAATCCAAATAGACCTGATTTTTTTCTTGCACACCCCTATTCATTTCCTTGTTTATGGGCCAAGTTAAAACCTTTCTTATTCATAGTCATTTGTCCCAGTTAGGCTTTCTTAATTGAAGCCAAAGGAGCTGGGAGGCTTGAATCAAGAACTCAGGGTGGGATGGGATTTATCCAATGGGCTGCTTCATATCATGCCTGTTTAGGCTCAAGTGCAAAAGGGACTAAGCTCCTGTAATTGGCGAGCAGTATAAAGACTCCACATTGGCCAAACCTGATAAAAAAACATTAGGAACACCTTTCGTCTGGTCAGGCTCTCAATTCCAGCAACTGACCTCTGGAACTCTGGATTATATGTCTACTGCACTGTTATCACACCCTTCCTTCATAGAGTTCAGAGTAGCATGCATAGTTGTCCCTTCCCCATTTTATCTTCACAACAACCCGGCAATACAAGTCAGACTAACAGAGAGTCACTGGCACAAGTTTATCTATGGCAGAGGATGGATTCCAAAACCTAGCTCAATACACTGTCTGCTATATAGAACAGTGCCTTTCTGACCATACAGCTCAGGACCGGCCACCTGCGAGGCCTGGCCTAAAGTTGTGCCAAGTGAAGAAAGGGGTTTGTAAAGCAGCCACAGTTCTTGTGTTACCTGAAGGAATGAAGAAGGTGTGCCCTTGTTTCAGCTCAATTCTTTGGCATCGCTCCACCCTGTCTCCCAGAAATATATCGCTTTGTTTCCCCGAGAGAACCCACTCCTCATAGAGTTCTAGGTTCTGCAGTGTGGGAGGGATCAACCAGAAGATCTAGGAAGAAAAGACAAGGAAGGAAGGAAGTCCCTCAGAATCAAAACTGCATCAGGGCTTCAGACCACTACCCACACGGACACATGCAGCCTCCTTATACCAAATCAGACCACTGGTCCATAATCGTCAGTACTGTCAATTCAGACTGGCAGCGGCTCTCCGGGGTCTCAGGTGGAGGTCTTTCGCATCACCTACTGCCGCATCCATTTAACTGGAAATGCTGGGGATTGAACCTGGAACCTTCTGCATGCTAAGCCAGTTTGGTGTCGTGGTTAAGTGCGCGGACTCTAATCTGGGAGAACCGGGTTTGATTTCCCACTCCTCACCTTGCAGCTGCTGGATGACCTTGGGCAAGCGGTAGTTCTGGCACAGCTGTTCTTGAAAAAGAGCAGTTCCTGTCAGAGCTCTCTCAGCCCCACCTACCTCACAGGGTGTCTGTTGTGGGGAGGGGAAGGGAAAGGAGACTGTAAGCCGCTCTGCTCCTCCTCTTCTTCTTCTTCTTCTTCTTCTTCTTCTTCTTCTTCTTCTTCTTCTTCTTCTTCTTCTTCTTCTTCTTCTTCTTCTTCTTCTTCTAAGCAGGTGCTCTACCCATGAGCCATGGCCCCTCCACAGCACATGAAGCGGTCTACCTTTGGTCCATCTAAGTCAGTACTGTCTACTCAGACTGGCAATGGCTCTCCAAGGTCTCTAGTAGTGGGCTTTCACATCACCAGTAGCTAGATCCATTTAACTGGAAATGCCTGGGACCTTCTGCATGCTAAGCAGATGCTCTACCACAGAGCCACAGACCCTCCCTATCCAAGGGATGCCTGCCTGAATTTCTCCTACTGAAAAGCTGCCTCCCCAGAGCCACCAAGAGGGACTCCCTCCATATTGCACCAGCCCTTCTAGGAGGTGCTGGGATACTACTTGACTGGACAAGGAGAACAGGGCTGTCAGGCAGAGTACGGGAACGTCCTTCCACAGCATTCTGTGGCTTGGACAGGTACTGGCCCTGGCCCAGTTGACCTCTGATGGTGGGAAGCTTCTCTTAGTTGGGGTGGGTGGGAAAGTTCTCTTAGGGCTTTCCAGCGAGCTCCAGCTGGACTTCACAGTGGTGTGCAGAATGGCAGAATGCACCAAGACAAACAAGCAAAAGTATTCTCATTGGACCATGCGGCATGTGACATCGCAAAAGCAAGGTGCACACAATGAACCAACAGCACCCTGCGTCTTAGCAATAGCTCCCAACTTCCGAGGACACCCCCAAAACAAACTACTTGGGGACTAAAGCACTCACTCCCCCCACCACCACCACCCTTGCCAAGCCAGGAAATCGCCATACATGCAGCAGTGGCAAAGGACAGTCTTCACAGACTGAAAGCACACCTGTCAATCACTCGGCTCTGTGCATGAGACTAAAGACTGCCCTAGAACCTCCCCTTTTCATGCTGGAAAGTGATGGGACCACTGCCATGTCTGTCTGTCTATACAGTCGCAAAACGGATGTAAAATGTAATACGGCATCCAGCACAAGCCCTGAGAGAGAAAAAGAGGGATCCTCTTTGAATGAGTCCAAAGAACTCAGCGTTTGAAGCCAGCCAAGACTGAATGGCTAACAACAACAAGGCAGGTAGCTTCCACTGGGCCTTTGAGAGGCAGGAACCAACATGCTGAGAGCCTGTCAGGAATTGTGGGGTGATGGTAAATGACTGCAAAATCCCTCCTTCACCACCTGCACCAGATCTCCCACTCCTGACTTTGGGCTTCAGTAGAGTCATTTCCGGTTAAGAGGCTGAGCTGCAGACCGGAAGGTCGGTAGTTCGGCAGTTCGAGACCCGAGTGCTGCATGACGGAGTGAGCTCCCGTCTCTGGCCCCAGCTCCTGCCAACCTAGCAGTTTGAAAGCAATCAATTGCAAGTAGATAAAGAGGTACCGCTTCGGTGGGAAGGTAGCAGCGTTCCGTGCGCCTCAGCGTCGAGTTATGCTGGCCACATGACCACGGAAAGGTCTTCGGACAGTGCTGGCTTTTCGGCTTGGAAACGGAGATGAGCACCGCACCCTTGAGTCGGATTCGACTGACTTTCGAGCAAGGGAGACCTTTACCTCTACTAGAGTCATTTCCACCCCCACCCTTCTGTTTTCCATTCCACCCCAACTCTTTCTTCGACTGGCACTCAACTGCCCTTAGCACTCTGCACCTCTGAGAATGGTGGTCATCAGCATAGGGACCACATTTTTTAGGTGGGTCATGCCGCCCTGCCTGCTGGGGTCACAAGCCCCTATGGAGCAAACCTTTTTTGCTACCTTCTGGAAGGCGCTGTTGCTTGTGCATCTGTGTAGGAAGGGTCCCGGCCTCCTGCCTCTCTCCGCAGGCATGCTGAGAGGAACAGCAGTATGGCAAGGGGCGGTCACTCACCGGTGACCTCTTCCTTCCAAGGCACTGACCCTGGGCTTGCTCTTATCGGAGGCTCCCTTCCTGGTTCTCAGCATGCGATTCCTGTCCTTGGCTCTCTTACTCTGCTGCCTACAGCCCTGGCCTTGGCACGGGGCAAAGTCATACCTCTGGCTCCCCTACTTCCTGGGCACATGATCCTAATGTCAAATGACTTCCTGCTGCTTTTCTGCAACTGAGAGAGAGTCCCAGGTGAATAAAGCCCACTTTCCTAAAGCAGGGTCTTTTAGAGGGGTGTTTTAATTTAGGAATAAGAAAGAACATGCCATCGAGTGAAACTGACTCATGGCAACCCCTTCTGTGGGAAGTTCCAGGGATGAGATGAGCAGAGATGGTGTGCCATTGCCATCCTCCATGTGGCAAGCCCACTGGGTTAGCTCCCAAGCTCCAAGAAGCTCAGGTTAAGACAGTCTATCCAGGTGGAGGAGGAGGAGGAGGAGGAGGAGGAGGAGGAGAAGAAGAGGAGGAGGAGAAGATTGGATTTATACCGAAGAAGAAGAAGAGGAGGAGGAGATTGGATTTATACCCCGCCCTTCACTACAAACTCCTTTCCCTTCCCCTCCCCACAACAGACACCCTGTGAGGTAGGTGGGGCTGAGAGAGCTCTGACAGGAACTGCTCTTTTTCAAGGACAGCTGTGCCAGAACTATGGCTTGCCGAAGGTCATCCAGCAGCTGCAAGGGGAGGAGTGGGGAATCAATCCCGGTTCCCCCAGATTAGAGTCCACGCACTTAACCACTACACCAAACTGTCGTTGACTCGCAACCAACTCATGACAACGTCAACCATGGAGTGTTCCAGGCAAGAGACAAGCAGTGGTGGTTTGCCATTGCCTTCTTCCACGTAGTGACCCCTTTCTTCCTTGGTGATCTCTTCTCCCAGTACCGCCTGTGGCCAACCCTGCTTAGCTCCCAAGCCCTGATGAGCTCAGGCTAAACCGGGGTAGTCAGGATCCTCTGCATACCTGTCATCCTCCCTCCCTCCCTAGTATTCAAACCCAACAATCTTCTCTGCGGATTGGCCTGATGCACTGTCCTTCTAATAGGAAGTCACCAACTTTGCTGTTAGAGGAAACAGGCTGTGACTTCTGCATTGCTGGGGGGGGGGGGCGGGATTCCCACACCCCAATCTTACCCTCTAGGATTCTACACGCTCCCACCACCTTGAGGAGAGGCCAGTTCCTGTGTCTCTTTCTGGTTTCCCCCCCCTCCTTCAACTGACTCAACTGCTCTCAACATTCCAAGGGCAATGAGCATGCCCAGTCCTTAGTAGGCTGTTGTCTGTTCCTGAGTCTTCTTTAATTTACAAAGCCGTCTTTTCTTGCATACCTGGAAAGTCACCCAAGTATGTCGGAACCCCACACTTATTTGTTGACATTTTTGCCTTTGCTGCTCTCTTGACTGGCTTGAGCCACCAACTTTTATCAATGGAAAATCTATATACTAATAGCGAAGGCGCCCCCTGCGTGTGGAAATCTAAATCTGCACATTGGGGGCACCTGGGGGGCAGGGAGATTTTCCTGCACACTTGGGGCAGTCCCCAGGTGTGCACAAAAATCTAAAAAGGTGAAAAAAATATTGGGGGGATATTTAAATCCCCCCCAAAGTAAAAGAGCCTTCCCTGCGCATGCGCAGGGAACGCTCTGAGAACTGCCTCGCCGCCGCCACAGCGGACGGGAGAAGGCTTGCCGGGTCGGCCTCACCGCCACTGCTGCTGCGGAGGGAGGGAGGGAGGGGGAAGCTTGGTGGGCCAGCTGGCCTCACCGCCGCCGCTGCTGCTGGGGAGAGAGGAAGAGGAGAAGGTTGGCGGGCCGGCCGGCCTTGCCGCCGCTGCTGGGGAGGGAGGAGCTGGGGGGGGGGGATCGGTGAGGCCCGACGGCTGCAAGCCGCTCGGGCCTCGCCCCCTGAGCCTCATCTCTAATGATCAGTTTGTTAATCTGTTTGTATTGTTGAGTTTTTGTTTAATGGATCTGTAATGTTAGTGTTCCTGGTTAGGACTTGGATGGGAGACCACCAAGGAAGTCCCGGGTTACTATGCAGAGGCAGGTGATAGAAAAGCACCTCTGCTCTTCTCCTGGCCTTGAAAACCCTACAGGGTCTCCATAAATTGGCTGTGACTTGACAGCACTTTCCCACCAGTATTGGTGTATTTTTATGCTAGAGGTTCTAGTGACATGAGCGGTTTTGAGGAAGCTGAGAGGGCTAAAACACAGGATCTGTTAAAAAGAAAAAGGGAATAGAATACTGAAACATGTTTGCTTAACAAAACATCCTTCCGACTGCATCGTTTTTTACACACCAAGCTGATTTCTGAAGATTCGGAGCATAAGCAATTACAAAGTTTTGTTTTTTAAATCAGGGATGAAAATTGCAGAAACTCTCAGGCAGCAAATGAACACCTCTCTGCCTCCTTCCTGTTCCCCCCCAACAAAGCGTCAAGTCCACTTACCTTCCCTCCTCGAAAAACATGATACCAAACTGAAGTGCCCCCGAAATCAATGTGAAAATCCGTGAAGCACCCTTTCACGCTCATCAGGCAGTACCTGCAAAAAAGCACACAGATTTCTCTTTTTTAAAAAAACAAAACAGCCCACAGGAATTGAACGCGACTTCCTCACGTATCTGCAAAATCACAGCTTACTTGTTAATTTTTACCTTTCACTGCCTTTGTAAAAGATTCTGAACAACATATCTGAGTAATCCTCTGGCTGGGCTCAAAACGAAAACAACGCTAGAATTTTTCGACGGGGGGGGGGAAATTCGCCCCTCGGGAGGGAAAATTCCGGGCTTCTGATTTAGGGCATTAGGATAGAAATCACACCGATCCACAGTCACACAGTCAAAACTGTTCTCTACATGCACCTCCCATCGCTTCATGTTCCTCCCAACACAAACCCAGCAAAGGTTCGCAAGGAAGACCAGAGAGAGAGAGAGAGAGAGAGAGAGAGAGAGAGAGAGAGAGAGAGAGCGAGAGAGAGAGAGCGAGAGAGAGAGAGCGAGAGCGAGAGCCAGCGGCTTTGCTTCAAGTTCTTTACAAATGGTGTCAGAGAACAAAGTTTCAAACCGTTCAGTTTGAACCTAAAACCCCCCGCGGTGGATACCCAAGCACTACGAGTGCCGCTGTGGTGGGGGATGGCAGAGAGACAGAGAGAGAGGCTTATTAGGGCAATTAGCTGCACTTGGTGCTCCCACCAATTTTTGTGCTTTTTTTTTAAAGGTTACACGCTTCCTGGAATGATGGAAAGAATCCATGGGCGGAATGGCGAAGTACCAAAGCCCACTCTCCGGGAGCGTTCTTTGCAAGAGTTTGAGAGCTGTCGCAGGGCTCTTGATCCTCTCGCCTCCATCCGTATCTAATGGCTGAACGATCGACTCTGTTCTCACGCTCACCACGGGCACCTTCGCAAAAGGAAGGGGGATGCATACCACTTCACCCACTAACCTCTTCCCCTCGTTCAGGTTTGGAAACATCCCTGTTTTCTGCGCTCCTCTCAGCCTTCCCCGCAGAGCTGAGGACGACGTACCGGGAAAGAGGCGCCCCCTTCTCTCGCCTCCCAAAAAGGCTCCAACCTTTTTTCTTCATTGCATTTCAGGTACTGGGTCTCAGCAGTATGCAGACGGCATGCAAAAGTCCCCCTAGACGATAGGCTAGGACGGACCTTACCATGTGCCTCGGGAAGGCTAGCAAATCAGAAAGTCTTTGGATACATAAGAGCCTGCTGCCTAGCAACCCCATCCAGGGCCGGGAGTTGACAGAGTGATACGCAATGCTGTCATGAAGACGGTAAATTTGCAGGCTTTGGGGAGGGGGGTACGGAACCCACCCTCCTTGCGCCTCTGCCTGGCAAATAAAGAGCTTTCCCATGCGCAATTACAAGCCTCGCCTGTTTTCCTGCTCTAGGATTTCAGCGGCACTTTGAAGACAGAGTGGAGATTTATTTTTCTCCACCCTGAGGGTATTTCAGATGCTTTTTTTAAAATTGAGGATGAAAAAGAAAATCACAGACAGTCTAAGAAGCTATGAGACTTTCAGGCCACAGTTTAGAAACAAACCAGGCATGTGTAAGACCTGCCGAAAACCTAAACAAGAGCAATTCACCATTTGATTGTGACCTCTACGTCCTGCTTTCAAAATATGAGTCCTTTCACTCCTCCGCGCTTTCTAAATCATCTGTTCCCGTTGCCCATTATTATTTTTAATGTCTAAACGAGACGGAACTACAGAGTTTATCAAAGGCAGCCTGCAACTAACCGATACGTAAACTAACTTTTAATCGCGGATCACAAGGAAAGGTTCGATTTAAAACAAGCGGTCAGTGACTAATAACTGCTACCAGATGCTTCAAAAGTTTTCTTAGAATTCAGATACTTGTGGTAGTTATTCTTTTCAACTGCCACCAAGAGAACACGGGGGGGAGGGGAATCCACAAAGAAGTCCATCTTAGAATTCTAGACTGTCACTCAAATGCTAAAAATGACTGCTTAAATCTCTTGTAGTCTGTTCATCTGTTATGGCCGGTGCCTTATCCTGATTCAAACACCGCTGTTGCTCTTAGGCCAGTGCTGCCGGCCTTGACTGACACCCCAAGGTCATCTTTACCATCTTTGCCAGGTCCTTTAACCGAAGATGCCAGGGACCAAACCTGAGGCCTTCTGCCCGCAAGTTATGCATTCTACTGCTGAGCTGCCGGCTCTCCAGTTAGTTTGCACGTTCGCACAAACCGCAACGCAACAATCTCATTCTGAGACAAGCTCCAACGCATTTGAAACCAAGGAAAAACAGATCAATTGAGACGCGCAAACTTTCCTGCTTTAACAAGGCAATTTCGATTAAACCCCCCACAGAAACCAAACATCCGTTCCTAAGAATGGTTGGGGTTCCCCCCCCCCCCAAATGGAGGGATTACTTCGAGATCTTTAGAAGCCTCCTGTTGTTCTCTTTCTCCCAGCCAACTCTAACCAAGTGCAAAAAGCTCATTCTGTCCGTAAATTTCCCCTGCGAACGTAACAGAGGCTGCTCCTCCGCTCAACACCAGCAGCCGATGAACGGGCTGGGGATCTGAAAAGCTCGCATCCGCCATGCAGTCTCTGGCGAAATGCCTTTGCGTTGACCTCTACAGCTTCCTCTCCACATAACGCTGCAGTCACATGGCCGCTCAGCACGCTGCTTCCATGCCACGGCTAATCTTACACCCCAGTCCAAGCTCAGCAAGCCGTTCCTCGTTGCCAAACCGACACTTCTTTTGCTTGGGGGAAGAAGGTCCAACTTTTCAAAAAGCTTTGTTTGCATCCAGAAATATTCAAGTGTCCATTTTGGGGGGGAAAGAATGTCGCCATCTCTTCCCTCTCCCAGTGGTGCTCTCTTTGCTTGGAGGAGGGGGGGGGGAATACCCTGGATACAAAGATGTTAAAGAATGTACAGTCCTATGTGCCTGAGAAGACGAAAGGGGGAGGGAGGACAAAAAAAGGGAACTTTGCGCTCCCTAAACTCCTGACGCTTGCAAAAAAACCCACCCTTGCTTTCACAAGCCACAGCCGTTGTGCAGCTCTTGAAAACTCAACTTTTCCAATTCCACACACATCCCTTGCTCAGATTTTTTTAAATTAAGAGGACATTTAACAATATGTTTTCTGAGGCTCACCTTTCCTCCCTATGTATTTATTTTATTATTTGAAACATTTATTAGACAACTTTTCCCCTTGGGGAATTCAAGGCAGTTTACGGTATAACAATGAATTAAGAAAGACATGAAGAACAACGTGAATAAAATAAGAATTTTAAACATACAGAAAAGGTCACAATTTATCTTTAAAAACTCCAATTAGTACTTGCCAATAAATAAGAACTAAATTAGTGCGGTTTTAAATAGAACAGTCCTAAATAAACTCTAGAAAGTTCAACTTGTGAACTGAAAACCCATTCAATGGCTGCTCCCTTTTTGAATCTTTTTTTCAGAATATGTCAAAGCCAATTTGATAGGTGCCAAAGCTGTTTAAAAAAACAAAAAAAACCTCCTCTCTCTTTCTCATTCTCTCACACATACAGTAATGGTACCAGGAATTTTCTACACTGCCATTTAGTTGATGCTGAACATGTGTGGCACTGATTTCAGAGGATTCAGCCTGCACTTATGCCAGCTCCTCTAATTGCTGCCAAATTAGAAGCAAAGTTGGCGTTTGCATACGCTCTCGTACATACTGTAGAGCCAAAAAAGGCTCTCCCAATGCTGCGTGGGTGTTATTTTCTTCCTGCGTCGTCCCTGTGGATGCGTGGGCAGAGGTTTCCTCAACTGACACTGCCTAAGATTGTCCTTTAGCATTTTTTTTAAAAATCTCCTGGAGAGATGCTCTGCACATTTCCTCCCACTGTGCAGAAAATTCACAGTTGCATTCATACACACTACAGATTTATGCACAACTACGTAAGGCACAGTTAAGGAAATCCAGAACAATGTGGAAAATAGGTTCACTAGGACACCGAATGACCTTTATACCAGTGAAAGTAAAATTAGAGCCGGAAAGGCGAGGACAGGCGACCCCAGACCACAAATTTTGTCAAAATAGGAGATAAAGATAGGATTTCTATTTCCTACCATAGGACTCCATATTGAATGTCACGTTTCAGTGTCAAAATCTGCCCTTCTTCGAAGCAATACATTCTGGACTGCAGAAATCCAGATTTCAGACATCCTGTCTCCACACTTCCCAGTTATTTTCAGAACAGACTCTGCAGGTCTGCGAAAGCCGAAATCAGCTTCCGCTACCAAAAACACAACACAGATTCAAAAAGATGTTCAGATCCCCAAGGATATGCCATGATCACAGACACAGATGTATAAAAGGAATGAAAAAATTCAGCCCATGTGACTACGGACTTTACAAAATCAAACACCACACTGAAGAATAAATCACATGACATAAACCCAAAAGAAAAATCCCAAAACTGATAGTATTACACGTGGGAGGCCGTTCTGGGAGACTCGGTGGCAAATTTGGGTTTCCCTCTGCATCATGCATGAAATGGCCATGAAATATAGCCTGTTGCTCAGTAACGTTATATATTTCTGAATAATGAACACGAAAAATTCCTTGTCTCAGTAAGGAAGATGGACCATAAAGTAAATAAATGAAAATAAACTCTTTCAGTTGTGTTTTCCCCATGGGAAGAGGGTTGTGTGGCTTCCCTGTTGCTGCAGCGGCTACCAATGCAGCGCAGCGCCCATGGGGACTACCACATGGCAGGTTTCCCCACAGTTATCTTGCCCAAATCCAGTGGCAGTGACCATTTCCCCCACCCCACACACCAGGGCTATTTTAATATTAAAAATGAAACAAAACCAGAAAAAAAAGCTATTGAATATCATTACAATGATCTGTGTCTCCGGTCCTCTCAGCTCCCAGCTTTCGTGTAAAAATAATACAAGCCTCTAAGCTGACATTGCAGACATGTGCTTTCCGAAAACAAAAGGGGCTAGAGATTTGCTTTTTTAAATTAAAGCTGAGAGACCGATACACAGATTATGAGAACGTTCAGAAGCAGCAG